AACTGACATTTTTGGCATGATTACTGGTATCACAGACACTGCCTGCTTGCATCAGTCTCTGAAACCAGAATGACTTGCATTGGTACCTGGTTTTTATTTTGTGCAAATAAAAAGAATAATGGAAGAAGCAGTAGAAAGTAAGGTAGAACGGGGGTGCCCCACTGGGTATGCATGCCACAAGTGGCACAGGCAGTCTGTGTAGCATGTGGCAAATTGGGGACGGGACAGGCAGCACAGAGGCAAATAGGGCAGAAAACGGAGCTGCAGATCAGGCAGGGGGATCAGAGTCCTAGTCAAGGGAAGTGCAGAGCTAATGTATGGGATCAGAGTCCTAGTCAAGGGAAGTGCAGAGAAAATGTATGCCACCCCTGCCAAAAAGGTTGGCCCCCACTGAGTTATAATATGCTCTTTTGTTTGACCTTCTACATGTGCTTTCATTTTTGTGCCTTTCAGGTTGAAGTCTGCATGTCTGTATAGGAGTTTTTAAGAATACCTTGACTGCTGTTAATAACTGGTTCCTTGGGTCTCACTCCTGCCTCTCCACAGATCTGAGGTCTTTTGAGAAACTATTTTTCATATCCATAGGTGGGAGGTCACCAACTGTTTCTGGAGAAAAAATAACTAGCCCTTTAGCCGATGGAAAGTTACTTTCCCAGGTTTTCCCTAGGTTCCTATATCTGCTGCTACACATTGCTGCTGTGCAAGTCGTAAGTCTGCTCTGCAGTATTAATTTGCAAAGAATCCTGTCCATTTTGTACAACAGGGAGTGAGGGCTTCTATAGCCCTTCAGTCTGATAATTTTTAATTTGGAATAATAGGCATGTGGTACTTTCCACATTTTGGATTATATGACAGATAGTGTAGGTACTGAAGGCCCTCGTGCAGTTCCTGAGTCGGGTATAAGTGGCCCATGTAAGTGAATATGAGTCATCATTACTAGGGCGTAAGTGTAATAAATTCTCTGGCAGCTTAGCTATGAGCCTTTCCTGCACTGACACTGTCAGCTGCCTTGAATTAGTTGTCAGTCCAGTCACTGGTTACTCATGTCCTTTCCCTAGAAGGTGGGGCTGTGTGTTTGGTAGTTTTTTGGTTTGTTTGTTTTGGGAGGGGAGGGGGGCTAACAACATTTTTCATTAATTTTCTGAAGGCACAGATACTTCCACGCAGTTGAGTATTTCCTCATTAAACTTGTACTAAGTTGCTGGACCCATGGTGGGCAAGAATCTATTCCTGTAAATTGTGCATAGTAACATCACTACATTTTCTTCCCCTCAACTAATCTGACTATGAATAATGAGCTCATCTGTTCAGGATGAAAAGTGATAACCTGGGTTGTCATGACGCTATAGGGAGCTGTTTCACACATCTCTTGAGGTGATGAAGCAGTTGGGATTTAAGGCGAATGGACTTCGTTACTTACCAGATTTTTGGAGCCAATTCTAACAACTTGTTCGTGGCTAGCAGTAGGATGGTTGGTCCTACTGATTTGATGGTTGAGATCTGGTGGCTGGAAATGCAATGATTCTGCACCTGTTCCCTTTTTAGATCTTTCTGTGCATATTGAGCAGTGGCTCTTGAATGATTCGTTCTGTTTCTCCTTTTGGAGGTTTCCTTTGATGGGCTTTTTCCTCCGTTGTCTATTTCTGCTTGAGAGGCTGGGAAACTAGGAGGTTTTTGGGTTTTATTTTGGGTTGTTTTTTGTTTTTGTTTTTTTTAATTTATTTTTCCTTGCAAAAATACTTCCCACCTGAGCTCTGAGGAAAGCTTTCCTTTGGGAAAACTTCCCTCAGTCTCTTGAGAGAGATTTAGCTGAAATTTAAAGGCAGTGGCTTGGTTGTGTGTCGTGCCACCCCCCCCATTCAAAGAGTAGAAAAAAGAAGCAAGCATTTAAACATGTTCAGCTACCTGTTTCCTCTTTCCTCTTTTCAGAAAGATAGAGAGATGCTGAGTCTAAGTTTACCTACTGACTTGAATTACTGCAGAGGGATATTTTTCCACCCATCTATTATTGGAGGATTTAAATTTTCCATTTAGCTGCTCCTGGAGTTCATATTGCTCTCACATTGTCCTCCTTCAAAGCAAGTTTGAGAAAATCAGAGCCTAAAAAAAGAACCACTTGGTAACTTTTCTAACCGTGTCGGTGATTCTGCTGCATCCCAACAGGAGTAATAACTTGGAAACCGTCTTCAGCTTTTTCTTCTCTCTCCAGGGAAGGATGAATCCTCTTCCCTTTTTGTTCTGTGGTTTAGGAATGAATCTTGGGGATAACATCTACTCCCAGCTGACTATTTGTCACTGATTAAAAACAGTAATTAAGGCCCTGGGGATCCAGCCAGGACATGGCAGAATGAAGTATATATCTAAAAAATCTCTTTTTGCTGGGCCCAGGAAGATGAATCCTTTTGATCTGTGCTCTAAATAATAAATGCCTTACCTAACAAGATGAGGACTAAATACCCAGCCTATTCAATTCTGCAAGCTTCAACAACAGAAGGAATTCCTTTAATCTAGAAGGACCAAAGGTAGATTCACTAAAGGTAGATGTGATGGATGAAAAGATCCAGCCTCTCAAGGGAATACACACTGCCCTCCCACAATGCCTCCCCATCTGTAAGCAAGCATTTCTGTGGTTAGAAGTTTCTCAAACTTAAGCCTCTGCCTCCAGTTCAACACCTGGTGTACATGAGGGGAATACTTCATTTTAAAATTTAAGTTGCCTAGTGTTGCTAATGCTTCTTCAGCTCCACCCCTATGGGCAAAGGTGGGAGCCGTACTTCAGACAGATCTGTCAGCAGCCACCTCTTATTAGGCACCCTGTCCTTCAGGTGGAAGACTGGCTTTATTGTCACAGGTTGAAATGCTGGTAGTAGCTTGTAGCCTGACTGTGCTTGGGCTCCCAGTGGCTTTAGCAACATCGGAGCTTGACCCAGTGTTGAAAACAGCAGGAAATGTCTCTAAAACTTCCTTAGTTATAGACAGAGGAGGGGTGGTATCGAATGATGACTCGCTATGCATAGAAGAATGATTCGAATATAAGGGAGAGGGTGTGGGGTGGAGGAAAGGCTGAAAAAGCTTTGTTCCCGGGAACCTCTCCCACCTCCCAACTATTTTATTACATTGGAGCAGCTGAGGTGATTGTAAGAATTGCTGACTGCTCCCTTGGCTTTACTTCCATTCTGGAGCTCCTTGGTTCACCACCTTTGGACTACCTGTACAGCTAAGAAATGGTGAGAAGGAGGTGATGGCTTCTGTCCTATAAACAATCCACCTGTTGATGTTCACCTGTTTGTTAATGCGTCTCAGTTGGCAATATTTTTCACTAAACACTAGTAATACTTTCACAAAAAAAATACAAATAAATGAAATGCTGCTCTAAGCCTTTGGGATAGGGTAGGGTATAAATCTAAGAAGTAAGTAAATAATAATCCTAGCCTGATTTGGCTTCCATTTAAAAACACTATAAAAGGGAAATTAAACTGCCCTAAAAATGCAAACTTAAAAAAAATGTTACAAACTATCAGAGCTAGGAGATTTTTATTCTAGTTTGTTTATATTCCATATACAACTCATTCCCATATAATTCCATATTTATATGCCATATAAAATACATATGCTGTCTTACAAAAATCATAAGCCCCTCTCTCCTTTCCCCCATCCAACTAGAGAAAGCTAACACAGCACACTTATTTTTATCACTTTATTTTAAAGTTTCCCTTTTCTCCTTTGTCCTGCCACTACTTTTTATGCATTTATTTGTTTATTTTTCTTCCTCGGGCTGCCTGGGTAACCACCTCTTCAGTGATGTATCAAGGTAGGAAGGTTGCAGAAATGTTTTAGTGGTGAAGGGCATTTGGTCAGTGACTGCTCCCTTTGGCATAATGGAGCATTGTTTATACAAAATGAGGAGTGAGAAGTTGGAGGCAAGTAGGTTGGATACATGGCTTGGTTCTCCCCTTAGTGCCCTTTATCCGTGTTCTGTTCGGCACCCACGTTTTAATTGTTGGGCCCTGACTCTTCACCAGCCTTGCTCTTAACATGTGACAAAGCAGCCTACAGGCTTTTTAACTTGTGCTGTCATAGTCTGGCTAGGCTCAAAGGGACCTTAAATCAGTGGAAGATCCAGGTCATGTGGGTGCAGACAGAAGTGCAGCTCCTGGCTGTAACTTGGAACGGTTTTTACAAAGTGTTTTGAGTTACCCCATACCAAACAGAAGTTCACTGTTGGCTCCAGGGTGGAGGGGAAGCTAGCTGCTGGCTGGGAGCCTAACAAGGCCAGGGCTGTCTGCCACTGCTCACTGTTTGCAGAATGGGGGGGAGAAAGGCAGCGCAGGGAACTCGTTCTTCGGGCTAACTGGTGCTGAAGTGTGGGGTGGGTGAATTGGACCCCCCACCTCCCAGGAGCATTCCAGTACAC